TCCCTGTCTGAATGGAGTACTGTACTTACCTACAAGAAGGACGCTACCCGATGAGTCATACCTTCCTGTGTAGAGGTAGCCTGGCCGCACCCGAGAGAGGGCTGTGTGAGAGGAGGAGACAGCACAGGCTTGGGAATCTGGCACCTCAGACACCTTTACCACACCCGTCCCCTCCATAATATTTTAGGGACCAGAGCCACACGAACGCACACACACAACATCCACCACCATTTAGACGTTCTCTCTCTCTCTCTCTCTCTCTCTCTCTCTCTCTCTCTCTCTCTCTCTCTCTCTCTCTCTCTCTCTCAACATTTGCTTATACGTTTCAGATTAGTTCAGACATGTGTTTTTATTTGCCACAGACAACATAATAATATTTTTAAAATTAATAATGAGTGTCCTATAAGATTCCTTACGTAGGAAAAGTAACCATCGTTTTCAGCACACATTTCACTCCGTGTCTTTAACTGTAGAAGAACACATACAAGCAAAGCTTAATGTTTTGTGTCAAAAGTAGGATATTTGAGTCACAGACAGACATCTCAGCCTTTTATGTCTCGTGGGCGGACATTTGAACCTAAGCGACTGTTTAGTATGAGGCTGCATCGACGGGCGTTTGAATCAAGGTTTGTCATACAGTAGAACTTTCGGACGACTGACATTTGAACCGGAGTTTGTCTTTTAGTAGTGTACTCGGCCAGAGGACTTCACTCATATTCCAGAGGAGTTTCCCACGTGCATTATCAGCCATGCTCAATGGGTGGACTGAGCAGTTGCAGAATATTTCTAGGCACTGCCTTTCTGGGTTTCACCAACTCCAAGATTCCCTGCCAGATCGATTCAAGCCCATATAGGCCATTATATATAGTGAGTCTTGTAAAAGGTGTATGTTTAATGACTGTGGGCTTTTTAAAATCAATTATTTGTGTTTTGTGTATTACGTTAAGTTTCAAGCGCCATGTAACCATTAGTTTATAATATCTCTGCTATATACCGGTGTTTTAGCAATCGATCTTAGCTGTAATGGTGTTTCCTATTGAAAAAAAATAGTATTTTTGGTTGCACATGTGTTCCTGTATGTGACACGCAATGGCAAGGAATCAGCATATTAATAGCTTAAACAAAACATGGAACTAAATTTTATAGTATTAAAACTAAGTTGTATATTCTCGATTCTAATACTATTTCAGTTTTAACATAGGCAAGTGAAAGTTGTGGAACCACTAAAGACATGGAACGAAAGTTAAATGCATACGAAAATAAATGTCTGAGAAACATGATGAAAATAAAACGGGATGAATTCAAAAGGGGTGAAGAAAAAAGATAAACGTCAGGGAAACCACTAATATCAACAGTTGTAAGACAGAGAAGATGGCGCTACATTTGACACATCCTGAAAAGAAACCAGCACAGGATCACCAAACAGGCATTGAAATGGGAAAAATGGGATTAAGGAAGCGAAGACGCCCAAGTGAAACCCTAAGGTGAACGTTGATGAGAGAAGCCAAAGTTGCTAGGCTAGATTCCATCCATGATATTGAACTGACCGCACATGATAGAACAGAATGGTGGAATAGACTGCGAGCCCTATTTGGCATATAATGGCACAACACGATAATGAATGAATTAATAAACTAATGAATTAAATAATGTGTTCCTTAACGGTGGTAGATATTCGAAAGTGATTGTTCGAAATTTATGAGGTCATTTCCTGATACTCAAGTACCTTATCATAATACTGTTAGAAATTTAACCAGTTGAATCGATTGTGAACATAGCTGCAATGTGGCAAACAGTACCCAAAATACGACACACTATATCAATGTTGTATTAACTTCACAGACCGTGATTACAAAAAACAGGAACACCAACATTTTAAATAAATACAGTCATTAAAAATGTAGCCTGTATTAGGATCAGCAAAAACCAGCACAGAGACGTCTGCAGCCGAGGTGAGATGCAGAGATTCCCTTATACACATCATGACAGCCTTAACTTTCCCTTAAGCATGTGACCGAAATCACCGCGCCACGCAAACATTATGTGACCGCGTATGTTTCATGAGAATATTGGCACCGGCCATTTGGCTGCTGTGTGCCTACTGCAGCTTGTTCGCTGCAAGTGACGAGACACACAGAGATGTAGGTCTGCACATCTGGGAATTTCTGTCTTCGCAGACCAGACTGCACAGATGGCACAAGCGTAAGAACAAGACGCTGAGAACAACTGTCATGCAAAAATACACGTCTGCGCTTGGGAAAGTGAGCTTCTTCTTCTGCATTTCATTTCCCAGTGGATCATAGTCCCTCAGCCAACACACACGAGTCCATGAGTCTTTTTTGTTTTTCTTCTTCTTCTTCTTCTTCTTTTTCTTCTTCTTCTTCTTCTTCTTCTTCTTCTTCTTCTTCTTCTTCTTCTTCTTCTTCTTCTTCTTCTTCTTCTTCTTCTTCTTCTTCTTCTTCTTCTTTTTTTCTTCTTTCTTCTTCTTCTTTCTTCTTCTTCTTCTTCTTCTTCTTCTTCTTCTTCTTCTTCTTCTTCTTCTTCTTCTTCTTCTTCTTCTTCTTCTTCTTCTTTTTCTTCTTCTTCTTCTTCTTCTTCTTCTTCTCTTTCTTCTTTCTTCTTCTTCTTCTTCTTCTTCTTCTTCTTCTTCTTCTTCTTCTTCTTCTTCTTCTTCTTCTTCTTCTTCTTCTTCTTCTTCTTCTTCTTCTTCTTCTTCTTCTTCTTCTTTTTCTTCTTCTCTTTTTCTTCTTCTTCTTCTTCTTCTTCTTCTTCTTCTTCTTCTTCTTCTTCTTCTTCTTCTTCTTCTTCTTCTTCTTCTTCTTCTTCTTCTTCTTCTTCTTTTTCTTCTTCTTCTTCTTCTTCTTCTTCTTTTTCTTCTTCTTCTTCTGTGTCCGCCTTTTAAAGAACCGTTTAACACTGTGTTGTGGTTTACAGCTAGAAAGCTATATTTGGACCAATTGACCCAGCATATCCATTTTCAGCAAAACTTACTTATTCGCCTGTTACGACAGGCTTGTCAGGGACAGTGGGTATTTGTGCCCCTTCCACCCCGGAATAAAGCCCTGGAACCCACACGAGATGAAGGTAGATCTCACGGGAGCTAGTATTTGACTGACTTTATGCTGTCAGTGTCAAACAGTGATCTGTTCTGTAACAAATCAGCGGAAATCAGATGAGATTAAGTAAGCATCAGGGGGTAATAAAGAGCGATGCAATTAAAAATGAAGAAATTACCACACACACACACAAAAAAAAAAACTAAACGTTACAACCGAAACCAGTCTTGTGGCTCATAAAAAATCAACAGATAAAATGGTTTCATTATCTGACAAGAATGTTGTGGTACCGTCTGCCACGTAGAGAAGTGTAATGAGTACAGTTACAATCGATGACCGCGCAAAACATGGAATGACGGCATTTAGAAATTAGGGTCATTTTACAGTGCATTAGAAAGAGCACATAGTCGATCTATACATATACACACACTTCGCTTAGTTAATGGGGCAGGGGGATGAGAAGGAGGGCGAGAGTACTTTTGGAACTGCTGATGGGGAATCTCCAAAGCGCTAGAAAATAACAATGGTGAACTGAGTGTGTCAATTATGTATCTATCTGTGAATAAAAACTGGATATATCATAACCTGATGGCGTCTGTGGCTTAGGCTTTGCGAACGCGCTTTGTAATGCCGGGATGCTGGGTTCGATCCCAGCTGCGGGCCTTTCGCCTCGCCTTGCGTTGGTTTCGACAGTGCTATCGAATATCCGACCATCCAGGAAGCAGTGGCAAACTAGGTTAGTTGCGTATCCTTTACAGGACGTTTCAGAACCAACCCCAACAACTCCTGGCTGTTGAGTGGTTTTTCTAGGCAAATTTACGTCCAGTAGTTTGCCATTGCTTCTGGGCAGTCAGCTTTCTTATTACCACTGTCGAAACCAACGTAAGGCGCATAGCCCGCAGCTGGGATCGAACTCGGCATTACGAAGCCTTCGCATCGACTTAGCCACAAATCCGACAGTGGCAAACTACTGGACGTAAATTTGCCTAGAAAACCCACAACAGCCCAAAAATGCTGGGATTGGCTCTTCAACGTCCTGTTAAGGATACGCAACTTACTTATATCGTAACCTATAGCGGCAAAAGCAACAAGAAATCCTCTTCACCACCACACAGTGGATCGTAGAAGAGGTTGTTAGCTGGGTGGAAACTGGTCAAGTGTGGTGTTTTCCCACAGTGTGATTCTGTGTTTCCCATAAATATGCACCCCACCTGGGCACATCGGAGTTGATGTGAGCAACATCTGGTGATAGATTTCACCTGTAAGACAGGATCGGCAGAGTCGACTTCACAGAATCGGGTAGCGGTGTATGTGTTTATTATTTACTTGCCTACCTAATATCGTATCTTCATTTTTAACTCTATGCTTACCTTTTTACCCGTCTGTCTATCTATCGCTGTCTGTCTGTCTGTTTATCTATCGATATGTCTATCCTTTCATCCATCCGCCTATCTGTATGTCTACCTGCCCCTGTTTCTCCTTTTCTCTCATTCTTTTCCCCAAATCTCTATCTCCCACTCTGTAATAACTTCAGCACTGTTCTCTTCAACCACATCTCCTTTCTCGAATTCCTTTAGCTTCCCTACTGACTGTCAGTGATGCGTACCCACATACCGTATATCACATACAGTATATCGCATACTGTATATCACATACTGTATATGGCATACGATATATCGCATAGCGTATATCACATACCGTTTATCACACACCTTATATCGCATACCGTATATCACATACCGTATATCAAATATTGTGAATCGCATACGATATATCACATACCGTATATCACATAACATATATCACATTTCGTATATCACTTACCATATATCACATACCGTACATCAAACAACACACCTCTTGTCACTAAATGGTCTGTACCATTATAGCAAATATTTTATGGAAGTTTTCATAATTGTTTCGTTGTGTTTTTATTTTCTCCAGGATTCCCGTCTTGTTTTCCCAACCCCTGCAAAAATGGCCGGCCTTGCAGAACAAGCTCAGACGGGAATAGTTATTGCGAGTAAGTTGCCCTTTGTATTTTACTAACCAAGTTAAGCATGTCATTAATACAGTTCTTCTGTCTTAGACATTCTTAAAAAATGGTGGCAGAGAGAGAGAGAGAGAGAGAGAGAGAGAGAGAGGAGAGAGCAGAGAGAGAGAGAGAGAGAGAGAGAGAGAGAGAGAGAGACAATTTGACCTTATACAGTTTAATGTGAGAGCTAGAATTTGACTTTACACAATGTGGTGTGAGAGCTAAAATTTGACTTAACACAATGTGGTGTGAGAGCTAAAATTTGACTTAACACAATGAGAGCTAAAATTTGACTTTACACAATGTGGTGTGAGAGCTAAAATTTGATTAACACAATGGGGTGTGAGAGCTAAAATTTGACTTTACACAATGTGGTGTGAGAGCTAAAATTTGACTTTACACAATGTGGTGTGAGAGCTAAAATTTGACTTAACACAATGTGGTGTGAGAGCTAAAATTTGACTTTACACAATGTGGTGTGAGAGCTAAAATTTGACTTTACACAATGTGGTGTGAGAGCTAAAATTTGACTTAACAGTGTAGGAATGATTGCCAAAAAATGTGACTTTACACAGTGTAGGTGCGAGCGCTAAAATTTGACTTACAGTGAAGTATGAAAATTTTGCGTGCACGTGTGTTTTACACATCTAGCTTATGTGTATGCAGACTGTTGGTTCACTGCCTGTCATGCAGATGCGCGCAACGTCTAAGGAAATACTCCTAATTAGTCGACTTTAACGGCATTTGGGTGGGCAGGGGGTCTACACCCCCCCCCCACCACCACCACCCCCACACACCCACATTTTGTATATATCCATGAGCCAAATCGCACTAACTCGTTCTGCCATTCGCCACCTCGTGCAGCACTATATTCTCATATAATCTGTCATTCTCTTTTCTGTGGGTTGTAGTCTTCACAGTTGCTTGATATTTGTGACTATAGTGTCGTGCCTGATGACCATAGCCAACTTGGGAGCTCAACATAACACTAATAGCAACTTACGACATGCATGATGGGTGCAGTGATACTATTGTTTACTTCGCCTGCATTCCCTGCTTACCAGATGAGCCGGGAACTGCGTGGTCTCGAGGCATGGTGTTCGCCTTGAGTACTAGAGGTGCCGGGTTCAATCCCCGGTAAGGGCTAGGATCTTTTTTTTTCACGGGGACTTTGGACCTCTAGTAATTCCCCCTGGTCTCTCGGCAGTGAGATCGGACGCCCGTGTGTATTGTTGCGCACGTAAAAAAAATCACCTGGCAGTTGAAAATCGAAAAGATTAGCATAACGGTGCTGCCCGGGCAAAATTTAGAGTTGAAAATCTACATAAAGTATTTCAGGATCCTCGCCGGTGCTGCAGAGCCTGTGCACTGTACTGAGCTTCTTCGGACTTAGAAAGTTAGAAGAAGACGGAGCACTTATGGGTTGCTACCCGTGTGTTATGATGTTGATCCATTGTTCAAGCCTCATACAGATAAACTATCTTTCCTTCCCTAGCATATCAACTCATCGTCCACCTCATTTCCTGTTCATTGACAGTCTTCCTGCTTTTGTAACTTCTCTCATCTATTGACACAGGCCTTAAATGTTTTGCCGTAAAATCCCAGCAAAAATATGGCCAGGTATACTTCACCGACAGCTGGCAAACTTATAAATAGCCCCCAGCCAAACAGGCAACCCCCTTTTCATTTGCTAGTACAGTATACCAAGGGTTTTCTTGCTTGCGTACCCGCACTTTTGTAGAATTTTTTTTTTCTTGCTGTTTTTCTCCCCCCTCCTCTTCCACCTTTCTTACTGAAAGGAAGTTTGTAAGGAGTATGTTATGTGTGCAGAGATGTGTACTTCCGGTGTTGACGCGGAGTAATTAGAGTTGTTTGGGGGAGGGGGGTGTTGTGTGTGTGTAGAGCTGAATGGGGGGGGGGGGGGGGGAAGGGAATTTTATCTACGATGAGATTAGCACACAGGCAGGGAGTGGATGGATTGGTGGATCTTGTTGGTTTTCTTCCCTTTTTCCCCGTTTGGAATCAGCTTAGATCTGTTGTTTAATGCACCAACTCTACCCAGAGAAAGGGGGTGGGAGCGTGAGTAAACGCACATGCACATAGTCGGAAGAACATACAGACTGACAGACAGATAGACGAACAAACCGATAGGTAAACGTGTATGTGTGTGTGTATGTGTATGTATATATGTGTGTTTGTGTGTGTATATGTGTGTGTATGTGTATTACGTTAAGTTTCAAGCTCCATGTAACTATTAGTTTATAATATCACTGCTATATACCATACCGGTGTTTTAGCAATTGAGCTTAGCTGTAATGGTGTTTCCTATTGAAATAAATAGTATTTTTGGTTGCACATGTGTTCCTGTATGTGACACGCAATGACAAGGGATCATCATATTAAAAGCTTAAATAAAATATGGAACTCTAAATTTTATAGTATTAAAACTAAGTTGTATATTTTCGATTCTAATATAATTCAGTTTTAACATAGGAAAGTGAAAGTTGAAGAAACACTAAAGACATGGAACGGAGGTTAATTGCATTAGAAAAGAAATGTCTGAGAAACATAATGAAAACAAAAACTTACAAACTTACCACTGTCGACATCTGTCTTGTCTACAAGAACAAACTTACCACTGTCGACATCTGTCTTGTCCACAAGAACAAACTTAGCACTGTCAACATCTGTCTTGTCTACAAGAACAAACTTACCACTGTAGACATCTGTCTTGTATACAAGAACAAACCTACCACTGTCGAAATTTGTCTTGTCCTCAAGAACAAACTTACCACCGTCGACATCTGTCTTGTCTACAAGAACAAACTTACCACTGTCGACATCTGTCTTGTCTACAAGAACAAACTTACCACTGTCGACATCTGTCTTGCCTACAAGAACAAACTTAGCACTGTCGACATCTGTCATGTCTACAAGAACAATCTTAGCACTGTCAACATATGTCTTGTCTACAAGAACAAACTTAGCACTGTCGACATCTGTCTTGTCTACAAGAACAAACTTACCACTGTCGACATCTGTCTTGTCTACAAGAACAAACTTACCACTGTCGACATCTGTCTTGTCTACAAGAACAAACTTACCACTGTCGACATCTGTCTTGTCTACAAGAACAAACTTAGCACTGTCGACATCTGTCTTGTCTACAAGAACAAACTTACCACTGTCGACATCTGTCTTGTCTACAAGAACAAACTTACCACTGTCGACATCTGTCTTGTCTACAAGAACTGTCTTGTCTACAAGAACAAACTTACCACTGTCGACATCTGTCTTGTCTACAAGAAACAAACTTACCACTGTCGACATCTGTCTTGTCTACAAGAACAAACTTACCACTGTCGACATCTGTCTTGTCTACAAAGAACTTACCACTGTACATCTGTCTTGTACAAGAACGACATGTGACATCTGTCTTGCCTACAAGAACAAACTTAGCACTGTCAACATCTGTCTTGTCTACAAGAACAAACTTACCACTGTCAACATCTGTCTTGTCTACAAGAACAAACTTACCACTGTCGACATCTGTCTTGTCTACAAGAACAAACTTACCACTGTCGACATCTGTCTTGTCTACAAGAACAAACTTACCACTGTCAACATCTGTCTTGCCTACAAGAACAACTTACCACTTACATCACTTGTCGACATCTGTCTTGCCTACAAGAACAAACTTACCACTGTCGACATCTGTCTTGCCTACAAGAACAAACTTACCACTGTCGACATCTGTCTTGCCTACAAGAACAAGCTTACCACTGTCGACATCTGTCTTGTCTACAAGAACAAACTTACCACTGTCGACATCTGTCTTGCCTACAAGAACAAACTTAGCACTGTCAACATCTGTCTTGTCTACAAGAACAAACTTACCACTGTCGACATCTGTCTTGCCTACAAGAACAAACTTAGCACTGTCAACATCTGTCTTACCACTGAACTACAACACCACTGTCGACATCTGTCTTGCCTACAAGAACAAACTTACCACTGTCGACATCTGTCTTGCCTACAAGAACAAACTTACCACTGTCGACATCTGTCTTGCCTACAAGAACAAACTTACCACTGTCGACATCTGTCTTGCCTACAAGAACAAGCTTACCACTGTCGACATCTGTCTTGCCTACAAGAACAAACTTAGCACTGTCAACATCTGTCTTGCCTACAAAGCTTACCACAATCTGTCTTACACCACTGTCGACACTGTCGACATCTGTCTTGCCTACAAGAACAAACTTAGCACTGTCGACATCTGTCTTGTCTACAAGAACAAACTTACCACTGTCAACATCTGTCTTGTCTACAAGAACAAACTTACCACTGTCGACATCTGTCTTGTCTACAAGAACAAACTTACCACTGTCGACATCTGTCTTGTCTACAAGATCACTGTCGACATCTGTCTTGTCTACAAGAACAAACTTACCACTGTCGACATCTGTCTTGTCTACAAGAACAAACTTACCACTGTCGACATCTGTCTTGTCTACAAACAAACTTACCACTGTCAACATCTGTCTTGTCTACAAGAACAAACTTACCACTGTCAACATCTGTCTTGTCTACAAGAACAAACTTACCACTGTCGACATCTGTCTTGCCTACAAGAACAAGTACCACTGTCGACACAAGCCTACAACACAACTTACCCACTGTCGACATCTGTCGACATCTGTCTCTACAAGAACAAACTTACCACTGTCGACATCTGTCTTGCCTACAAGAACAAACTTACCACTGTCGACATCTGTCATCTGTCTACAAGAACAAACTTACCACTGTCAACATCTGTCTTGTACAAGAACAAACTTAGCAAGAACAAGAACTTACCACTGTCTCGACAGCTTTCCACTGTCGTCTTGTCCTACAAGAACACATCTGTCTTTACCACTGTCGACATCTGTCTTGCCTACAAGAACAAACTTACCACTGTCGACATCTGTCTTGTCTACAAGAACAAA